ATTGTGACAATGCATCCTTGTTCAAGTTGTCTTGTGAAGATATTACAGTCAATAACATCTATGGATTATTCATCACAGTTTTATTGCATGTATCCTCAATGGGAAGCATCTCCATCACCTATTGCAACATACTTTTCGTTTGTTTCAATACAAAAAACAAGAAGCTCAACAGCAAAGCACTTCAAACATGTGCCACTCACTTAGTTCTGTACCTGGTCATGCTGTGCTCTGGATTTCTAACTGTTATACTGCATCGTTTTCCTCTTGACCCGGATTTCAGAAAACTGTCATATATTTTATTTGTTGTTGTTCCAGCAAATGTGAATCCCATTGTTTATGGCCTGAATTCTAATGAATTAAGAAACAAACTGGTGCAAATATTCCTTTGAAAGGTGTTGCATATATGAATAATAAATCAAATGTAAAAAATGCACCATTTGTGTTAACCCTTATTAAAAAATAAATTGGAAAATTCAAGATCACTCTGGTATGATACTGTACATTTCCTATTGCTTTTTAGATGCAAAATTCCAGGCTGAATGTGGTCAATCGAAACCTCAGCGTGCCTTCTTCATGTATTAAACAGACAGAAGTGTAAACTGCTTTCTTACAATATCATTCTGTATTTAGGTTCTTTGTAACTGGGTTCTGCTTAACACTTTTAAAATCAAAGTGAATGAATTTAGCAGGGTGGCACAGTGGCGCAGTAGTTAGCATTGCTGCTGCAAAGCTGCAAAGAGCTTATACAGTATGTTCTCCCCGTGCTTCGGTTTCCTCCTACAGTCAAAAACACATAAAGCTGTCACTTGGGAAAAATGGACCTTGTGTGAGTCCGTGGGTCACACCCACGTTGCTAAGGAGTGTGTGGGGAACTATGGGTAAGTTGTGGGAAAAACCATAACAGCCACTAAAGTACACAAGTGCAAAGAAAAATATTTGTTTGTGGGCAGTTCCCAGAAAGTCCACCATGTTTGTAGAGGTATATTATTTTTAAGGTTTGTAAACGACTTTGCTTTACCTTGCGTGAGCACCCACAAAGTTTATGTAAGACTTTTAAAGTTTGGTAAGTAATGACCACATTTTACCTTTAAGAAGTGACTTATTTACCAGTATGCATGTATGTAAACTGTGTTGATTGCGGTCTGTGCTGGTAACGATCTCTATATACAGTATGCCCTGCGATGGACTGGTGTACTTAGCTTTGCGCCCATTGCTTGCCGAGATAGGCTCTGGCATCCACATGATCCTAATTAGGATGAAGCAGTTAGAAAATAGACTAATTTGGCAAGGTTTTGGAAATGGTGCCTTCTTGAAATGCTTGGATTAAGTATTTGGCCTTAAAAACACAAGAATCTGCTGTTATGAATGAAAATTTCACCCTTTTGAGTGCTTCTTTTTTTCTGTACTCTAAATCTGAGGCTCTTGATCTGGGGGGGTTAGTCCCAGGGGGGTCGCACAATAGGCAACAGAGACAGAATCAACAAAAGGTTAACACATACTGTACAGTACACTAGGGGGTAAACAGGGACACGTACGCAACTTCAGGGTGGTTATACATCAAAGGACAATAATAGAGGTAAACAATTAACTATTATATACACCTGCACGGTTAAGACTATTTACATTAGCAGGGTGACATAATGGTGTTTATTATGTGTGTTTTAGTTGTAGAATCAGCAAAACTGACATTCCTCAAGTTTGCAGTTCTGTCTTCACATTCTACCTTCCAAACCTATTTTAAAATGTCTGTCTCATTTATCTCTTTAAAAATGTAAAACCTCAGACAAATCTCCTTTCAACCATCTTTTTACTGAAAGTGGAAATATTGCATTCTTACATTCTTCGGCTAATGGTAAAAAATGAGGGACCGAAGGCATGTTCTACATTTTGTAGAATTGTTAGTTTTAACTAGAATTTTAACTAGAATATAGTACGTTAGCAACACCCAGTAAATGTTACAATTTGAAACTTTTTTAACTTGTAGAACTGTTATTCCAATGGCTGTTTATCGTATTTATATGTTTATATAAGAATATGGTAAACATATTTTACTGGAATCATAAGAGCATGAAAAAATAAATGCAGAGTTTGTGAGGAGAATGACAGAATATTAACCCAAGTGTAATGAGAATAACCAATACATTATGAGCACAGAGCTGTGGAGCAGATATTACTTAAAATGTGATAAAGGTGATTATAAAGAATGATGCTGAAGTTAAAAATAAAATTGTTGCAAAACAATGATGCATCCAGGTGTTAAAATTATTCCTTTTACAACCTTTCTGCTAATGATTTCTGTAAGAATCCAGACTACCCATCTCTATTTTGTTATGAGGGTGATATTTTACATTTGAAAGAGCATTCAAAAATAATGATTTCCAACTAAAATAAGTAATTGAGTTTGTGCTTTTACCCAGTTATTACTGTTTACATCACCCAAAGTATCTGCACAGTCATCCCAGTTATTTAGATTCTTACAAAACTACACTGTGCTCTGTTTTATGAAATTCAGTATAATCATCAGAACTGTTACCAGGCTAGTCAAAAAATATATTAATATTTGCATTTCAGTGTTGATCAGCTAAATAATGATGAGTTGCACAATGCAGGGATTCTAGACCACTGGTTTAATACCCCTGTGGAATACTGTTGTTATACCTCTGAGCAAAGTCCTTCACTCAAATTAATCCACTAAATATCCTGGTGCCTAAATGGGAACTCTTCAGGTCATCAACATAAATTAAACTTTGTTCTCGTTTTTGAATGAAGGATTAATGAAAATTTGCAAAATGATCAAAATGAACCCACTGTCTGCTGATTATTAATGTAGCTGAGCTCTTTCATTTAATTGGATTAGAATACGTTTCTTGTTTTCAGCTTTTAAATTGCTAGACATTTCATTAAATAAATGTCTTACACATTTTAAAGTACATGAGGACTAGCACTGGGTAGCCCTGAAGTGCAGACTACCTCCCAAAACACAGTGTTCCCTGTCGCCATACAGGAGCACTGGTTAAAAATGTCCATTGCAGTGGAAAGAGTTCCTCACAGAGGTCGACAGCTCTTTATCCCCAACAGCCATTTTTCAACCAGTTACTTGCAGGTGTTTTCAACCAGAAACTGAGACTGAAAACATGAGTGATATCACTTCACTTTGTATCCATATAATTATTAAAGTACATTGATCGAAATCAGGGGTGCAATTAAATCCATTGGCCTTCAGGCCATCTACTGTAGGCCTGGGTGCTCCACACCACTAGTTCCACCTAATAGTCCACCAATATAAAATTATCATTAAATCATCACTTTCTTAATTTTACCAATGGAGCGGTTCCGTTGATTATTTGGTACAACGAAAATAAAATTAGACAGTTGTATTTGAACACTTTATTGTAGTATCATACCATTTTCAATTCAGAGTAATTAATAGACATGAACCCCGATTCAACCAAAAAGATACAAATAGAAAATCATACAAACATACATAAAACTTCAGCGGCAATGTAGTAGCCTAGAACTGGCACGCCAGACTAAAATGTCTCTGACGAAAAATAATAAATTGAGTGAGTTATTTCTTATTAGAACAATACAGCCACCAGCTCCAGTTCAGTTAGGATGTGAATACAAACAGTACCGATTGTATAAAGGAATTCCGAGAGCAGTTTCATGTAAGGGCGTGTATTATGTCTTTCTCTCCGGACAAAATAACCCTGCGTTTTCGAAAACCTCTTTTTATTGCATCTCTCAACTCTTTATTTCTTAAACTGTAAATCATGGGATTAAGCAGAGGGGTCAATACCGAGTAGAGTACGGACACCATGATTCGCACTTCAGGAGAAATGTTTCCTACACGGTAAGAAATGTAGACAAAAGCGGCAGAAATATAAGATATGCAGACGACCGTGAGGTGCGCAGTACAAGTTGAGAAAGCCTTCCGCCGACCTTCTGGAGACGCAATTTTCATAACTGATATTACGATCTTGATGTAGGATAATGCAATGAGAAAAAAAGTCGAAATCAAAACGAACAATGCGCCAGATAAACCAATAACGCTGTTCAACTGCGTGTCTGTGCAGGCAAGTTTGATTACTGATGAATGGTCACAAAAGCAGTGGTATATTTTATTGGGTCCACAAAATGGCAGCCTTGTAGCCAGTATCACTGATGGCAGTGTTAATGTTGCCCCAAAACACCAAGCAGCAATAATGAGAAGGACACGAAAGGAACCAGTCATAACAGCTGTGTACCTCAAAGGATTGCAGATGGCGACATATCGGTCGAATGCCATTACAGTCAGTAAACCGCGTCCTGTCGAAGACATGGAAAGAAAAAAATACATTTGGATGTAACAGGCCGTCACAGAAATGCTTTTGGAGTCGGTTAAAAACCCGGACAGCATGTTTGGGATTGTGACGGTTGTATACACTACGTCCACAAGCGATAGGTTGTGAATAAAAAAATACATTGGTGTGTTTAGTTTGGGTTCTCGGATCACGAGTAATATTATCATAAAGTTCCCAATCAGAATGATTACATATGCGAAAAGAAACACCACAAAAAGTATGACTCGCTTGTCTTGTAGACTTTGCATCCCAACTAATACAAACTCGGACACAGGAATAAATGAAGAATTCATGGCTGGGTATTAAAACATCACCTGTACAAAGACAAGAAATACAAGTTAGAATATCTGATAAACCATATTTCATAATACTCGAAATTCATTTGAGCCATGCATACAGTATATAACAAAACTTACGATACAATTTGTGTTCTCTAACCAAGAGCAACATTCACACTGATTACTGTATAAAAAGCTATTTTATAAAGTTGTTTTATCTATAAAACCTGTTTGTTTTTCCCCCTTTCTTTATAAAGGCAATTGAGTTAATGGTTATAAAAATATTGTAAAATCTGTAGATAACGAGTTAAGGATAACAGTTGTTGAAAATACGTTATACTTCGCATAAACAACAACTCTTGTTCAACATCTTTCAAATTTAAATTTGGAAAATAAATAATTTCATTTGAAGTATTCAGTTTTATCCAGATCAATAGCAAGAAAGCAATATTGAATATTGAATAATGTCATCAAAGCGTTATTTTCTTTAGTAAAGCAAATTCTGACTGAAAAAATAAATACAAGAGCGAAAAGGTATCCTCGTTGACAATATTCTTAATTGAGCAAACATTTGCACGAAGAACGTCAAACATACTGTATCCGTTTTGACTTACTTTTCAGTTTTCGTAGTTAAATAACATTTCACTCTGCAAAATACATAAAATATGTACCATCGATGTAGTATTTAAAATTTTCTGAATCTTTGCATATAAATAACGAAAAAACTAAAATTATTTGCTAAGTTAAAACTTTGAGAAGCCTTAACTTATTTCCTTATATTTGTATTTTTTAACTTAATCGAAAATCATTAGCAAAAATAACAATTCGAAGTACTCCACGGGAAAATGATTTTTAGTTTTACATCTGTATACTTTTCTTAAAGAGTGCTCTAATAATTGCTAAAATAACGAAAAAGAGTTAAAGCTGGGTTCTATTCCTATTCCTATACAAAAAATAATCTGAGGTGCTCTTACCAGCATGGGAAGATGAATTTCATTAACCGGCTACATTGAAGACAAACGTCCTAAATACACCTTTTGTACATAATTTGAATGCAATCAGTATACAGTAATTGCTGTTTCTCTTTAAGAAATTACCAAAGGGGCTTATTTATTTTCTGTTGCAATTAAAGAGTGTAACTTCTCAAGTCCCAAGGGGAACAATTGTATATCTCCGTCTGAACTTAAACAGCCTAACATTTCTCTTAATTCATTAAGGCTCTTTATATAACATTTTTTAACTCTTAAATGTTCGTAGCATATGCGTGAAGACAGGATTATTATATTCCTGATTTATCGTTCAAAGTTTACATCATAGCCAAATACAGCTTATTTTACTAGCTGTCCTAGGCTGTACAATATATATATACTTTATGAATATACTATAACTGTAGGAGAGTGTAGTTTTCACTTCAGCAATAAACTACAGTATGCACTACATTTATAATAATAATAATTGCTTCCACTTATATAGCGTTTTTCTGGACACCACTCAAAGCACTTTAGGTAATGGGGACTCCCCTCCACCACCACCAATGTGCAGCATCCACCTGGATGATGTGAAGGCAGCCATAGTGCGCCAGAACGCTCACCACACATCAGCTATTAGTTGGGAGGAGAGCACAGTACACCCCTACTCTTTTCAAGAAACACCCTGTGATTTTTAATGTCAACAGAGAGTCAGGACCTCAGTTTTACATCTCATCCAAAGGACATCACCTTTTTACAGTATAGTGTCCCCGTCACTATACAAGGGGCATTAGGACCCACATGGACCGCAGGGTGAGCGCCCCCTGCTGACCCCACTAACACCTCTTCCAGCAGCAACCTTAGTTTTACCCAGAAGGTCTCCCATCCAGGTACTGACCAGGCTCACACCTGCTTAGCTTCAGTGGGTTTCCTGTTGTGAGTCGCAGGGTGATATGGCTGCTGTCTTTTATTTTAATTGGATTTACAATAAAATATCCCAAGAATCCTCACATGGCTTATTCTCCCTTTCTGAACTATAAATGTTTATCATATCCAGCCAGCAGCCATATCACCCTGCAATTCCCAACTGGCAGCCCACTGAAGCTAAGCAGGTGTGAGCCTGGCCAGTACCTGGGTGGTAGACATCCTGGGAAAAACTAAGGTTGCTTCTTGAAGAGGTGTTAGTGAGGCCGGTAGTGTGCGTTCACCCTGTGGTCTATGTGAGTCCTAAAGCCTCAGTGATGGGGATACTATGCTTTAAAAAGGTACCATCCATTAAAATTTCTCGAAAAGAGTAGGGGTGTAACCCCGGCATCCTGGCCAAATTTTCCATTGGCCCTTCCCAATCATGGCCTCCTAATAATCCCCATATATGACTTGGCTTCATTACTATGTTCTCCTCTCCACTAATAACTAATAGCATTCTGGTGCACTATGGCTGCCGTCGCATCAATGTTGCACATTGGTGGTGGTGGAGGGGAGTCCCCATTACCTGTAAAGCACTTTGAGTGGAGGTGAAAGAGGCATGCTGGCAATAAGAGGTTCCTTTAACAGTTAGAGAATTAAAACTATAGTTGTAAAAACTGTAGTTCAAGTGGTAAAAAATCTCCTGCATATATGCAACACACAGGTACTGCTCGTTTGTATAAAAACAAAACTGCATTTACAACAGCCAGTGGTTTGACATAATAAATATCACAGAATCCAAATATTTTGTATCATAATACAAAGGATTTTAATTAGATTGGCAATCTATATGCATAAAAATCTCATTGAAACAATCTCCAACTCGATTACACAGCTCTGTTCAAATATGCTCTACAAATACTTCATTTACAGTTAAAATACAGCTAAAAAGTTAGTATTATCCCATACGTTTAATGTTTAAAATACTTTTTTTTAATCTAAAGAAACAAATAAAAGACAGGAGCCTGTGTTGGATTTTGTTTTGTATTATTGAAAGAACATCTAAATGTTTGCTGGATGAGACAAAATGTTACATTTGACAAACATTTTAAGAACGTAATAACATTTTTAATGGCGGAAATAAATGTTTTTGCAAGTGTTCTAACTAGAAATCATTTTATCACTTCTAATGTCCCGCGGGGTCAATCTGTAGATGTTCTTAAAAACGATAAAGTAGCCTATAAAAAATCAGGACTCTCTTAGTATACAAATTACATATTGTATTTTCATTCTAAATCTAAAGTAGTATATACCACCATAGTGTCAGTGTACCAAATAACGTTTTATATTTGATAAAAAAGAGACAAGATTCAACACTTCTGTATATATATATTGTATATGTTAAAATAAAATGTTCGTAACGCTAAACTTGGCCAGATTTGTGAATTTGCTAAGCAGGCTGAGAAAATAACGAGAAATGCAAATCAAAATAAACCTATGAACTATAAACGATCTTGCCGATGTTATAAATTTACTTGTCCGTGGGAGGGAGTAGTTGTGGTCAGAGGTATTGTGTGTGGACTTTCTGCAGATTTAGCAATAATTAACTCGAGATTTTTATTTACAGGACATTTTATTAAAAACAGCCTTACATTAAACCATGATAACGAGACGCTCTCATAATTTATTCAAGTGTCAAAATTGCTTTCCTTTAGTGTACAGACCAAAAACAGACATATATACAGTATATACGTACAGTACATAGTGTATAATTGGATTTACTGAAAGTTTGTTAAAGTTCATATCTGACAATTGTTTTACATTATGTCGACATTGGAAAATGAATATATTATTATCCTAAAATAAAACAAATCTAATAAAACGAATCTTAAAAACTGCCCCGCCTGATAATTTGATCCAATTTTTCTCAGCATACAATCGAAGACAGGTTTAATTGATTTAACACTGATATGACAACTATTGTTGCTGGATAATCTTTGACAATCAGTTAACTATTAGAAAAATCAGTAGCACAATAATCTGTGGAAAAAACTCTGAAACACATCTGTTCGCCTGGGACAAGTAAAAATTAGTTACATACTGTAATATTCTGTTAATTTCTAAACTACGTTTATGCTGATTTTATACTCAAAGGGTACAATAACATACAAAACTTTATTATAAGAAAGTTATAAATATTACATAAAAATGTTTAAGGCCTCCTTTGATAAAATAATATAGATCTTGAATTTTTAGAAAGCACGAATAGTGTTAAAAACATCTATATCATTTTGATTCCCTTCACATGAAGTACTCAATTTAATTTTAGTTATTGAAAACATACATAAAAGTTACAATTTTAGACATCCATTTCTTTGTCGTACGAGATCGTAGCACGGTGATTCTTGCTGCCTCGCAGCGCTAGAGCCCTGAGTTTAATTCCAGACCTGGGTGCTGTCTGTGCGGAATTTATGTGTTACCCCCTGTTCGTGTGGGTTTCTTCCCACAGGCCAGAAACATACTGATTGGTTAATTGGCTTCACTGAGCTGGACCTACTGTACAGTGTCCCCTGCCTTGTGCCTTTTGCTTGCCGAGATAGGATCCGGCTCCCCTGCGACCCCGAACTGGAAAAAGCGGTTAAAAATGGATTGGATGTATCTGGGTTTTGTTTTTTCTTGGGCGACATTTTTACTGCGTGTTTGCATGATTTTGTATTTAGACTATCGGAGAATCTTACGTTTACATCAGTAAACTTGGATCAGTTAAGAATTTAACAATCATTTCTTACAAGCATCTGTGCAATACGTTTTGTTTTGTGTGAATTCTAATGGTATTTTATTCGGATAATTTGCGAATGAGAGGGCTTGAAAAGCAATATGCTACAGTACTTTTAACACATCTAAAGCACAGTGTGCATGCCGATATTTAAAATACCCACGAGAAACTGGTTTCTAAATTATCCCTTATAATGAGAATGACATAGTATATTCTGTATTATGAATTATAGGAAGCAGTGAAGATGTCTGTATTCCAGTTATACTGTGTCTAGAGGTTAAATTAATTTCCAGCTTGCTAGACCCAATCTGGCTTTGCTTTATAATGGTAATCTAAAGGGATTCGTGCTTGAAAACAGGAGAAATAATTTAACTCGAGAACTAAAGCATATACCCATAGTGGACAACAGACACATATCAGGTAATCTGGAAATACAATATGTAATCCGTATTGTAATCAAAATCCAAATGTTCATATTTTCCTGTACAAGGCTACAGCTTTTGTACAGATATCACTATGAAAAGTGATAAAATGAAAGTTTGCTTTTTACGATAATAACTACAGTACGTGAAATCACTTCACACACCAAACTATTATTTATAAAGTATTGATACTGCTATTATTTAAATACATTATACATCTATATTAACCACAGCATACACAGAAGAGAAAAAAAAATAACATTTCAAATTGGTTGTTTTTTTTTATATTCAGAACATAAATTAATCGGTTGCCATTTAAAGCTTATTTACTTCACGAAAGGACAAGAAGCTTTGCCACACATACACCTTTTTTGTTTTTTTTCCCTTTAAACTGTTACAAATTTTGGGGAAACTAAATAGAATATTTCACAGGGCAAAACATCCCTTAAAATCCAGTCAAAAGTGCTTCTACAGAAACCTGCTTTCGAATAAATTTCAGAAAGCTTTTCCTGATGTCCCTGGTTTTAAGGCAGTAGATAATCGGGTTCACCAAAGGGGGTATCACGTTCTGTAGTACTGCAGCCATAATACGAACATCGTCAGAAAAGCCCTGAATTCTGTAGGTAATAAAGACAAAAACTGCAACAAGGTAGAAGACGAGAATTACTAATAGGTGAGAGGCGCAAGTAGAGAAGGCTTTTTTCCTCCTTTCGGAACTGGCCACCTTTATGACGGAAATAATGATTTTGATATAGGAAAAAAATATGAAAGCTAAAGGAATTAACAACACTGACATAGCCAAAGTCATAGAAACTATGGCATTTAAGGTGACATTTGCACAGGCTAGCCTGACCACAGCAGAGTAGTCACAAAAGGCATGTAATACAACATTTGGTCCGCAAAACGGTAATCTTACTGCCAAATACAAAGGTAATAACGGCATTATCATACCGCCTATCCAGCATAAGATGTATAATTTGATTAAGTGTCTGTTACTCATTATTGTTGAGTAATGTAGTGGATCACATACAGCCACATAACGGTCATAAGCCATTACCATTAATAGAAAGGATTCAGTTGAACCTACACCCAGATAAAAAACCATTTGGGTGAAGCAGGCTCCGAATTCAATACTTTTGGTGCGAAACATTAAATTGGTTAATATTTTGGGTACTGTAACCGAAGGAATACACAAGTCTAAAAAAGCTAAGGCTCCAATAAGAGTGTACATTGGTGTATGGAGAGATTTATCGAACTTAATTACGATTAATATTGACACGTTGCCAAAAAGTGTTAGAACGTAGGTTATCAGGAAGAACGCAAAGAGGATATTCTGAGATCGCTGGTCCTGGATGCCTGAAAAACCATTCACTATGAACTCTGAGATGTTCGTAACTGTTTGATTGGAGATAATCATCTTCACGGCCAGGTCCGTCTGCAGCTGCAAAGCGAATTTTTTTCCTGCAATTAAACAGTGGATGAACACACAGTAATGCAGTTCCTCTTATTTTCTATTCTGTATTTTAAACTTGCTGTGTTTTCTACATACTGTATGTGAAATACGATTAGGCTTTTAAAGGAACTTTAAAACAAAACGACGTTTTCTCTACACAAAACTTTAAAAATCAACGAATTCATTAATTAACCCGATTTTCCTCATGCATTTATGAAAAAGTATCTTCGTGTCTTTTCATATTACCGGCAAATAATTTTTGTTTTTTGTCTATACATATTAAGGGGTTACTGTTTATAGCTACACATGATCTATCTCAAACCTACTCCTGATTTCACGTATTACAAAAATGCCAGCGATGCTTACCTGTGCAGTGTCGGTGACAGATTTGGACTCAAAAACAAAGTTAAACAAAACATATTTATTTTCATTATGGGATCCCAAAAGATGTGTCAATTAAGATATCATGGTGCAATTAGCTCCAGATCAAAATCCCAAGAGAGTTCAGTTTCTGTCTACCAGAATAAAAGTCAGCCACTGCAAATTCTGTTAACATTGTAAAGATTAGAAAAACCTTTTTTAACCCCCTTTAAATAAATGTATACTGTATTTCCAAATCAGCAAGGAAATGTATTTAGTTGTTTGGTTACATCTTATACAAGGTAAAATTGTAATAACCTCCTGAGTCATGCTGTAGGTCTTATTTGCTGAATGAATCTGCTGTTAATAACTGACCTATCAAGAAGGCCTTAGACAATTCTGTTTGTATGAGATGGTATTAGAATAATAGACCACAAGGAACATTTTTTTTTTCATTTGGATCTATGTGTTCTGTATGCAGGTAAAACAGTAAATGCTTTTTCATGGTGCAATATCAATTCCAGATGGCTCAACATGAAATGACAGATATAGAAAAGATATTTAGTAAAGACCTACAGTATACCTGAGGTTTATCACAAAATATCTAGAGAAGAAGCCACAGTTCCCCCATTTGTATAGATCTGGGAATGTCTGTGTTTGTTCATATATTGGAGCCCTTTTAATTTATCTAACAGAATTATCTTGTTGTGTGTGTACACACTTAAATTAATTGCCTATTCAGTTAAAAAGTCTTATTTGGAGAATGGGAAGTGTTGTAAAGCATAAATGTTCATCTGCTTGTAGGTAAAAAGTTTAATCTTGGTTCAGTTACACTCAGTAATGAAAACATTGATGGTGATGTTTCATTGTCATTTTACTGGAGAGTTGAGTGTTCTTGTGAGATGTTAGTGCTGCTGTTTGGTTTCTAAGGCCAGAAAGCCATAAAAGAGCATCATTCTTATCCATCAAAACCATTTGCTTGATGAGTTTTTTTAGATTATGGTTTGGTAATGAATACTACCGATAAAAGTCTAAAAGATACAAATTGATGTTTTTAGCAAGTGAAAAACTGCATAATGTAAAACACAGTCATCTGTAACATGTTGTGGAAAACCTGAAAGAGAAAATGCAGGTTGTATATATTTCCTGAAATTGTATTTTCATTCTGTCCCCTTCCATGACAGGCTTCTTAACTCATATCAGTGAATCTGTAATCCGGATTTACTCAGGTATAGTTTAAGATAAATGGGCTTTTAAAAATAAAATTTAACATGATCTGTGTCACCATGCAATTTCCACCTCACAGCTACATGAAGTATCCTGACCCTAAGGAGTGCTAGCAGAATTAAGAGCTGCAGAAGTAAGTGTCACTTGTAATGATACTCTTGCAATATTGTTTTCAAAACGTTTGTTATGCTGGAAACTCCTCTGTTAAACTGTCATTTAGCCCCTGATTTCAAATGTACAGCTCAATACATGTGATATATCAAATATTTACAGTGTTTTACTGAGGTTGAAGCCCATTGAGTACAGTGAAACAACTGTAAAGCATAGAAACATACTGTGAAAAAAAAACTGTAAGAAATCAAGGAAAATCACAATAACAATAACATAAACTGAGTAAATTGATAAATGTGATAATACTGTAAGGAAACTGAAAATACCATGCAAATTTGTGCATGGATTACAATAGATATACAGTTTTAAAAAAGATGTTTTACAAAAGATGCTTTTTGCATCTAGGGTTTCTTCATTATAAGGCTGGCCTGGTGATAGTCAAGCACACAGTAATATTCAGTCATACACCCTGGGTTGCATCAGGCCCCTAAGTGCTGTTGAGCCAGTTATTTCAACAAAACTCTCCTGTAGTTAATTGCTTTGAGCTATAATCTTGTTCACTTATAATTAGTCAGAGGACGTTTAAGGAGTACCAAGCAAACAAGTTGTATTCACTTTGGAGCTAATTATAATTAGATCCGCAATAAAGAAACTCCAGGAGGCAATACAAAACATAGTGACTAGATAAAGAAATAAGAAGGAGAAGAGTCCTCTTGAAGATACATCATTTTAGCTGAATGTGCTACTTAAGTAGTTAAATATTTTAGTATAATTATCAATGAGTCATCTAAATGAGTTTGCAATATCTGTGTATGTGTATTATTTATTTTATTCATCCATATTCATCCATTAGAGCCTATCCCAGCAAACAAGCCAGGGTACACCCTGGACGGGACACCAGTCCATCATAGGGCAGACACACTAAATACAAACACGCACATACTAACACCCAGAGCCAAATTTCCCAGAAGCCAATTAACCTATCAGTATGTTTTTGAACAACGAGTCCCAATCCTACTGGGAGAGGGAGGAGGGAACTCAATTGAACTGGCAGCCCAGTATGTGATCTCTTGTCACAGCCTGAGGAACAGTGCGTCTCTCTCCCAATAATGCTCCATCTGTCTACAGTATATGTAAATATTTTATGATATATCTCTGTTGTAAATGTCTGTAATATGTCTGAAGATTTTATTTTACTTTTATTTTTTGTTTTGTTCCATATGAATTTCATTATTTTTATTTGCTTTGGCAACACTGATTGTATCCATCGGTCATGCTAATAAAGCACCTAGAATTGATGTTTTTGAACACTGGGAAGAAACCAGGGCACCTAGAGGAAACCAACGCAAACACAGGGAGGACATACGAACTCCACACAGATAGCACCCAGGGTCCAGGATTGAATACAGCAATGCTAACTACTTCACCACTGTGCCACCCATTATTTTATGTCTTATTATATACTGTGTGAATAAACCATTCCAGTAGGAAACAAAAATGAATTTCAATTAGTAGAAAAAGGGAATGTGCAGCATGTGAGAGCACTATATCACACTGGATGTAATATCCTCCCACTCCTGCACTTCATGGTATTCCAATAACTTGAGGAATCAGGATCTGCTTTACGGTGCAGGAGTCCATTAGCTCAGCAGACTGCTTTCCGACCATTATTTTTTTAAGGCCTGCAATTTTTTTAGAGGGCTTTGTTAGGGAAGCTTTCTTACCACCTTCCAAGCTGGCTAGATTATCAGATGTGTCTAAATTCTCCCTGTGTGCTTGTGTGTGTCCTGTGACAGGATGGTATCTCCTCTAGGATGTAGTTCCACCTGTCACCTTGGGGTAGGCTCTGCATTGCCATGAATGTTGATAGGAATAAATGTCTTTCTAATAATGGATTATATGCTGCTGGTGCACTGACTTTCTTCTCTGGGATGGGCTACAGTCTTCACTGGAAAGGTTCCGAATCGTACCAGTTCTGAGGAGTTTCATCTCCAAAATAATGGAAAGTTACTTGTTTAATGGTTGTTTTATATGGCAGTCAGAAAGTTAGTATGCCGAGTTGTGCAGTTTTGTAAGTGTGATTATGTTCTTTTGCATACAACTCTATTACACACTCTGTTTACACATGGTCATGTGATACTGTTTAACCAATCAGAAGTTTTTATTTTCCAGAGCCATATGCTGTGATGAAGGTAATGGTGTCTAAACTGCAGAATGGAAAAGCAAGACCACTTTGCCTTCTTCCTGTGAGAGACTGATAGACTGATCTCGTTTTTTAACTTCTGCTCCACCTTGTGTTACTCTAAAGAGAATGCAGAGAGAACTAGATTTCAGACCGAGAGCTAAATAATTTGCTAGTGAAATATGAGTAATACAATATGCAACTCTAAAAACCACCATAAACCTCTTGTTGTGGGAAATTGTTTATCAGAGGAGCAAGGACACAGTATTGTGCAGATTCGGTTTAATTGAGATCAATAAGGACAGCAATGCGCGCTGGGATCTCCCTGCAGAACAAACAAACTGCAAGGGTTTCCCAACGCTTATATACTGTAAGTTCAGACAGACGTTTGTTTCACAATCTGAGTGCTTGTCCTGTTCTTTGATACTCAGTATAATTACTTCTTGTCCTTTCCTTTGATATGTAACAGAGTTATTTTTTTCTTGTTGCCTGCTGCTTTGAGGGCTGGCTCGTCCTGTTTTATGATGCTTTGGTGGGTGTTTGCCTATTCCTTTAATATGTGACCCAAGTTGATTTCTTTGTCCTGTTTTTGGTACAGTATGTGGTCGTGAGTGTTACTCCTGAGAAGGACATCAATAATTTTTCCTTTATGAAATTCCTGACTCCTGATAGAAGCCAGCTTTTCAGTTCTATTTAATATCTCTGAGGAGATTGTGTTTCAATGTGTTTTCTGTTTTTCTGTGTCTGTTGTGTTATACAGTATATATTCACTGGTCAAAAGGAAGCGATAAATCCTACAACCAAAATGTAGCCTACATGATTCTGATTCTGTGCCATTTTAGATTGTCTGCAATTCCTTATTAATCAATATGAACTAATTACACAATTCATCTTCACTAGCACGAAACTGTTTACTTTCTGCTGAGTGCATAGTGTTACGGAGCATTATTACTGTATATCCTATTATTACTTCAATAGCCTTTCCTTTGTATTTACTGCTTGATAATTCATTTGGAGTTTTCAAGAGTAAGACTTTCCCTCAAGTATGTTTTTTCAATTGTTAAAGATTCTCCAGTTTCTGTTGTTTTTCTTCGCTTGTATAAGATTATATTTATAATGTGTTTCATTATCATTTCTTATTTATGGTAGCCACTACTATGGTTGTTACTTGTATTTGTGTTAAAGATCTGCCAGCCATCACATTACAAATAAGATTTAGCACACTGGTTTAAGTGATTTACAATAATCAGATACTTTATTCTTATTTACTCTAGAAAGGACCTTTAATTTTTCCTGTGAAAGTATCTGCATTTCAACAATGCAATTTTAAAATGCCCTCTATATTTTTATTGGACTTGTAAAGTGTGGTTCTAATAACCCTAATCAATATCAACACACATTGAAGACTGATTTTCTTCTTATGTACTAACGTATTAGAAAAACTCATCATTAGACTAAGGCCTACAGTAGTTACCTGACAATTCACAAACCAGATCAACATGCTGATATGTGGAGAGTACAGATCAGGTTCTGTATAAACTGAATATACTGTATAGGGGGACCAAGGGGTACGGCTTTGGTAGATCAAACAATTAAAATTAAGATCATTTTCATAATGGAGAAAAAAGGAAAAATGGAAGGCTGATGCTTTGACTACAATCACCAACAATGAGCTTAGTCTCGTTTTAAGTCAGAAACAATGGAGTCAGTTTTGTTGTAGCCTTTAACAGAACCATCAAGAACACACCAAATCTGTCTCTATCCTAACAGAGTAGAAGGTAGGCTGGTCACATTATACAGCGGATTTCCACAGTCACTTAAAGTGCTCTTAGTGTTGAAAATGAAAACAGGAGGACAACAGAACGTCCTGTTTATGTCACATGAGCTAAATTCCTTCAATATGGGCCCCTTTCAGAGTGTATATGCACTCTCTCCTTGCTTGGGATAGAGGTACAGTATACTGGCAACCAGAGGTGTGTACAAAAACATTGTATTACCCCATACATTTTATTTTTTTTTTAATATAAGGAAACAAATAAACAACAGGAGCCTCTGCTAGATTTTGTTTTATATTATTGAAAGAACTTTGCTGGACGAGACAAACTAATGTCATACATTGACAAACATTTTAAGAACACAATGGCACATTGTTAATGGTTTGGGGTTTTGCAGGATTCTAAGTAGAAAACATTATATCCTTATTAATTACAAGGGTCATATCTAATATCCTGTGGAGTCAATCTGTAGATGTTCTGAAAAAAGAAGCCTACAAACAATCATGATTCTGTCAGTATACAAATTGCATTTTGTATTTTCATTCTAAATCTAAAGTAGCTTATACCACCAGTGTCAGTATAGCAAATAACGTTTTATCTTTGTTAAATAGGAGAGAAGAGTCCAAACTCAAGAATTGTGACTTATATTTATATGTGTAATGGTAAAATTGAAAGCATGAATAAAGAACTGAAACATATGTATGTTTTGCAATCATTTTATTATTTCTTATCACTTTTCTAAACTTTCGTAATGCTAAACTGGACCAGATTTGTGAATTTAGTAAAGAGCCTTTGAACATAACGAAAAATGCTAAGCAAAATAAATCTGTAAAGCATAAAGGTTATACAGAATAAAAAGGGAGCAACTATAAACGACCTTGCCGATGTTATAAATTCACTCGTCCGTGGGAAGAAGTGGTTGTGGCCGGAGGTATTGTGTGTAGACTTTCCGCAGCTATTGCCTGGCAGTAACGCTCCTTTCCCGAGCAGATTTAGCAATAATTAACACGAGATTTGTATTTACATTTTATTAAAACAGCCTCACATTAAACTAAGTTAACGAGACTGTCAAAATTGCTTTGTTGTAGTGTCCAGATCAAGAACAGACATATGTAAAGTACTGTACATGCACACAGTACATAGTGACTTTCATCAGTACGCTTGGATCAGTTAAGAATTCAACAATCAATTCTTACAAGCATCTCTGTGCAATACGTTTTGTTTAGTGTGAATTCTAATAGTATTTTATTCTGATAACTGCAGACAAACACTGAATGCGATGGCTTCAAAAGCAACATGCTACTTTCAACACGTCTGAAGCTCAGTGTGCATGCCGATATTTAAAATACCCACGATAAACTGTAACTGAAGTATCTGTTATAATAAGAAAGGCGGCATAGTATTTTCTGTATAACAATAGCAAGTAGTAAGGATATCTACGTATATTCCACCTCTACTGTGTCTAGAGGTTAAATTAATTTGTAGCTTGCTAGACCCAATTATGACTTTGCTTTTTAAAGGTAATCTAAAGGAATCCGTGCTTGAGAAGGAATAATTTAACTCAAGAACTAAAAAAATACACCCATAGCAGGCAACAGAAACACGCCAGGTAATCTGGAAATACACTTTATAATGCGTTTTCAAAATCCAGATGTTCACATTTTACTGTACAGGCTACAGTTTTTTGTAAAGATATCGCTTGTGTGAAAAAACGATAAAATTAAAGTTTTTGCTTGCTTTTTACAATAATAACCACTGTAAATAGGGAAATATTCCACGTGAAATCACTTCGTACACTGTATTGAGGCTACAATTATTTAAAACATAGATTGATAATGTATATTAACCACAGAATACACAGAAGAGAAAAGAGAAATAATTTTATTTCGCGTTGGTTAATTTTACACTCAGAACATAAATTAATTGGTTGATATTTAAAGCTTTTTACTTCAATGTTAAATGTACATTTTTTATAACTCTAGAAAACCTTCAGAGATTTTTTCTCATGTGACAAAAACAACTTTTCCACATATACTTTACATCTTTTTGTTTTTCCCCTTTTAAACTAAAAAAAAAATCGGGAAGTGAAATGGAATATTTTACTCCGGGGCACAATATTCATTAAAATCCAGTCAAAGTGTTTCTACAGAAACCTGCTTTCGAATAAATTTCAGAAAGCTTTTCCTGATGTCCCTGGTTTTAAGGCAGTAGATAATCGGGTTCACCAAAGGGGGTATCACGTTCTGTAGTACTGCAGCCATAATACGAACATCGTCAGAAAAGCCCTGGATTCTGTAGGTAATAAAGACAAAAACTGCAACAAGGTAGAAAACGAGAATTACTAAAAGGTGAGAGGCGCAAGTAGAGAAAGCTTTTTTCCTCCCTTCCGAACTGGCCACCTTTATAACGGAAATAATGATTTTGATATAGGAAAAAAATATGAAAGCTAAAGGAATTAACAACACTGACATAGCTATAGTCATAGAAACTATGGCATTTAAAGTGACATTTGCACAGGCTAGCCTGACCACAGCAGAGTAGTCACAAAAGGCGTGTAATACAACATTTGGTCCACAAAACGGTAATCTTACTGCCAAATACAATGGTAACATCGGCACCATCATACCGCCTACCCAACATAATATGTGTAATTTGATTAAGTGTCTGTTACTCATTATTGTTGAGTAATGTAGTGGATCGCATACAGCCACATAACGGTCATAAGCCATTACCATTAATAGAAAGGATTCAGCTGATCCTACACCCAGATAAAAAACCATTTGGGTGAAGCAGGCTCCGAATTCAATACTTTTGGTGCGAAACATTAAATTGGTTAATATTTTGGGTACAGTAACTGAAGGAATACATAAGTCTAAAAAAGCTAAAGTGCCAATAAGAGTGTACATTGGTGTATGAAGAGATTTATCGAACTTAATTACAATTAATATTGACACGTTTCCAAAAAGTGTTAGAACGTAGGTTATCAGGAAGAACGCAAAGAGGATATTCTGTGATCGCTGGTCCTGGATGCCTGAAAAGCCATTCACTATGAACTCTGAGATGTTCGTAACTGTTTGATTGGAGATAATCATCTTCACGGCCAGGTCCGTCTGCAGCTGCAAAACGAAATAGTTTCCAGTAATTAAACAGTGGATCAAACAGTGGAAAATTAACGTTTATGTTTGTCTTATTTTCTATTCTATACTTTATACTTGCTGTGTTTTCTGTGTATCTGAATACGACACGTTTGGGCTGTCAAAGGGATTTAAAATAATACGACTTTTTCTATTGATTAATTACTACAAAAAAAGTTTTAAAATCATATTATTTTAGAATTCGTATACATTAACTCGATGTTCCTCATACATTTGCGAAATAAAGTATCTTATTGTCTTATTTTCATATTATCAACAATTATGATTTTTTATCCGTACATTTTAAAGTGTTACTTTTTAAAGTTACACATTATCTATCTCAACCCTACTCCTGATTTCACCTATTACAGAAACAGAGGAACTATAATTAATGTCGTAAAGAAACATTAACTAAATTTCAGATTCTTCATATGGTTTCTCTGCCGGCGATGCTTACCTGTGCAGTGTCGGTGACAGATATGGACTCAAAACAAAGTTAAACAAAACATATTTATTTTAATAACGGGATCCCAAAAGATGTGTCAATTAAGATATCATGGTGCAATTAGCTCCAGATGGAAAAACCCTAGTGAGTTCAGTTTCCACTACCAGAAAAAAAAATCAGCCACTGCATAGTCTGCAAATCCTACATTAACATTATGAAGATTAGAAATAACATGATTTTTCCCCCATTTGAATAAATGTATACAACATATGTAACTATTTGAAAAAACAACAAGCACACGTATTTAGTTCTTTAGATGCATCTAATACAATACAATATTTTATTAACAAACATTTTTAAAGCATTTCATGTATTATTATTATCATTATTATTAAGTGACATTTACTTCTGCAGCCATCCTCAAAGATTCTGATAACACTCCTAGGAGTCAAGGTAATTTATGCAGCCATAAATTGGACATACATTTCTGAGTTAATCTGGATTACAGATTCAAGGATACACTGTACAGTACATTGAGAAGCCTGCCACGGAAAGGAGACAATTTCAGGAAATATATTAAATCTGGTTTATCTCTTACAGGTTTTCCACAAATGTCTGTTTTACTTTGCACAGTTTAAAATTAACTAAATCATCAATTTGTATCTTTTAGACTGTTTTATAAGTATTATTCATTACCAAACCATAATCTAAAGCAAATCGAGCCAATGCTTTTGGTGGATAAAAATGATGCTGTATAGTTATCAGGCTTCTGAACCCAAATAGCAGCACTGACATCTCACATGAATCCTCAACTCTACAGTAAAATGACAATGAAATTTCGCAATCAGATTTTTAATGACTTTGATGTATGTTCTTGAACCAAGATTTTAACTTTTTACCTACACGCAGATGAACATTTAGGGTTTTCAGCACTACTGTTTCACCAAATAAGACTTTGTAGCCTATTAGTGTGTAAATGCACAACAGGATAATTCTGTTAAATAAACTAAAAGAGCTCCAATATACAGTATGAACAAACATGGATATTCACAGATCTACACAAATGGGGGAGTTGTGGCTTCTTCTCTAGATATCTTGTGATAAACCTCAGCTACAGGTCTTTGCAGAGCTGTAGTAGTTCAGACAGCAGGGGCGTCTAGCTCCTGACTGGAAAGTCCCGGGGTCAATCCCAGGTAGGGCTAAACAATGTACAGTACAGTAGCTTGCTCTAATTCCTTCCAGACTGCTCTCAGGTCCACTAAACCTGCTTTCCAAATGAGCACTGGGGGTTAATCCTTCCGGGGGTACTAGGCGAGTCTGAGTGTGATGCTGACTACATCATCTCCACCTCCAGTGTTGGATGGTTGAGAAAAAATGGTGGCCCTTCCACCAGAATTCCACCAGAATCCCCATGGGTCTGAAAGGCCTGAAAGGGACTGTCCTACCTACAGGTCTTTGCTACATATGACATGACAGATACAGTATCTGTCAATTCATGGTTGAGCCTTCTGGAATTGGTATTGCACCATGAAAAACATTTAATGTAGTTTTACCTTGATAAAGAACACATAGATCCAAATGAAACAAATTGTTCTTTGTGGTCTATTATTCTTATACTGTACAGTCTCATACAAACCGTAACAACTGATAAAGGCCTTCTTGATAGGTCAGTTATTAACAGCATATTCATTCATCAAATTAGACCTACAGCATGACTTCATGAGGATATGCTGGAAGCCCCTCAACTAAAATGGCATTTAATGATTGCCCCTGATAGTCCCTGTTTTCAAATCTACAGCTCCATGCATGTGATATATCAAATGTTTATATTAGTCTACCGAGGTAAAAGTCCATTGACTACAGTTAAACAATTGTAAATCATAGAAACATACCGTGAAAAAAAAACTCTAAGAATGCATTAAAAAGTAAATTGAATAAATTGATAAATGTGATAATACTGTAGGGAAATTGAAAATAAAGTGCAAATGTGAGCATAGGATACTGTGGTTATCAAATATGTTTTACAAAAGATGTTTTGTTCATCTAGGGTTTCTTCATTAAAGGGCTGGCCTGGTGATAGTCAAGCACATAGTAACATTCAGACATACACCCTGGGTTGCATCAGGCTCCTAAGTGCTGTTGAGCCATGTATTTCAACAAAACTCTCCTGTAGTTAATTGCTTTGAGCTATTATCTTGTTCACTTATAATTAGTCAGAGGACATTTAATGAGTATAGAACAAACGAGTTGAATTCACTCTGGAGTTAATTAGTATTAGATCTGCAAATGAAGAAACTCTAGCAGGCCATATCTCAACAAAACATTGTGACTAGGTAAAGAAATAAAAAAGAAGAGGAGTGTTTTTTCAAGAGATTACATTTTAGCGTATGCTTCTTATGTAATAACATGCTTTTATTTAAGCAATTTTAATATCTTTATTGACATCTGTACAACATTTGTGTATGTTTATTATTTATTTGATCCATCCATCCATTTTCTAACTGCTTCTTCCAATTCAGGGTTGCAAGGAGGCAAGATCCTATCCCAGCAAGCATTGAGCACAAGGCAGGCTACACCTTGGACAGGACACCAGTCCATCACAGAGCAGACACACAAACAGATTTTCACACACTCACACCTAGAGCCAATTTTCCCAGAAGACAATTAACCTATCAGTACGTTTTTGGACAGTGATTTTCAAACAGTGATTTTTGCATTGATTTGAAAAAGATTTTTTTAAGGCCTGCAATTTTTTGAGAGGGTTTTGGTAGGAAAGCCATTTTCCTACCCCCTTCCAAGCTGGCTAGATTAACAGATGTGTCTAAATTGTCCCTGTGTGCTTGTGTGTGTCCTGTGACAGAATGGTATCTCCTCTAGGATGTAGGTCACCTGTCACCTTGGGGTAGGCTCTGCATTGCTGTGAACCTTGATAGGAATAAATGTCTTTCTAATGATGGATTATCTGCTGCTGGTGCACTGACTTTCTTCTCTGGGATGGGCTACAGTCTTCACTGGAAAGGTCCCAAACCGTACCAGTTCTAAATAGTTTAATCTCCAAAATTATAGAAATGTGCAGAAAGTTACTTGTTTAATGGTGGTTTTGTAATTTATATGGCAGTCAGAAATTTATCATGCTTTATCACAAATTTATTGTGTTGTGTTTTACAAGTGTGATTAAACTCCTTTACACACAAGTCTATTACACATGGTCATGTAAAACTGTTCAACCAATTAGAAGTTGTTATTCCCCAGAGCCATATGCCGTGATGAAGGTAAGGGTATCTAAAGTCTGCTTTGCCTTCTTCACATGAGAGACTGATAGATAGAATTTTTGATGAAAATCAAATTCAGAGAACAAACATGAAAGTCTTTAGCTGAACGTTCAATGAGTAAAAGTCAAGAAAATAAGGATTTCTCTTGCTTCACTAATTCATTTTTTCAAAATACTGCCATCCTGTAGTGAACATGTTTCTGCCTTCCAGGTGAACAGTTAATGGGTTAAGCCACCTGGTCAGAAACATACACAGGGCCTTCAAAGTTGTTTCAAAGCTTTCATGTTTATTTGGATGGAATAACTGGTAAATAGATAACATAAACTGTAAATTCTTGAAATAGTGCTTTGCGTATACTGTACAAGGTAATTAGCTGGAGTCTCTTTTTCTGGAATTTCTTATTCGCTGGAATCCTTCTTGGAATTATAGTGCTGGCTGACTTTTTTCCTTTATGAAATTCCTAACTCCTGATAGAAGCCAGCTTTTCAGTTCTATTTAATATCTCTGAGGAGATTGTGTTTCAATGTGTTTTCTGTTTTTCTGTGTCTGTTTGTTGTGTTATACAGTATATATTCACTGGTCAAAAGGAAGCGATAAATCCTACAACCAAAATATATCCTATGTGATATTCTGTGCCATTTTAGATGATCTACAATTCCTAATTAATCAATATGAACTAATTACACAATTCATCTTCACCAGCATGAAACTGTTTACTTTCTGCTGAGTGCATAGTGTTATGGAGCATTATTACTCCATAACACTATTATTATATCCTATTATTACTTCAATAGCCTTTCCTTTGTATTTACTGCTTGATCATTCATTTGGAGTTTTCAAGAGTAAGACTTTCCCTAAAGTATGTTTTTTTTTAATTGTTAAAAAAGATTCCCCAATTTCTGTTTTTCTGTTTGTTGTGTTATACAGTATATATTCACTGGTCAAAAGGAAGCGAGAAATCATAGAACCAAAATGCGACCTACATACTGTACAGTATTTGTACTACATAATACTATTACAGCTGTTAAGCTTCACTTATACAGTAGCTCATCATTCAGATTCCATACTACAGGCTTAGCTGTTCAGGGAATGCTGTATAGAAACCAATGCCCTCGGGTAGCGGACGTAGGGCGACATGGTGCTAGGTGGGTGTCAGGACATCCGAACGTCAATGCTGAGCCAAGGCAGACTGAAAGACCCGGAAATATATAGACCCAGAGAGAGAGAAACACCGGAAGGACAGCAAAAAACCGGAAATGAGAGACAGGACAGAGAAGGAGTGCCCTCTGGCTGCAGAGGGCGTGACACTAAGAAGAGGAGTGTGTACTGCGAAAGTAAAGTCTACTTGTCTGTGTGGATTATTAGATTGGAAAACTAGACACTTTTTCAAAGAGATAAATCACAAAGTTAAATTCCATTCTTTTTCAACAAATTATTTTTTTTTTCCTTTTTTGTGTGCTGGGGTCATTCTTTCTTATTTGCACCAGAAAGGACCTTAAATGTTTAATACCAATGTATCTGCATATGCAACAATGCAATTAAAAAATGCCCTCTATATTTTATAGGACTTGTAAACGGTGGTGCTAATAACCCTTATCAATATCAGCATACATTTAAGATTCATTTTTTTCTTAAGTACTAACATCTGAGAAATATTCATCATTAGACTGAGGCCTAGTTATCTGACAATTCACAAGTCAGATCAACATGAATTTAGTAACAATCTTTTCTTTCAGAAAGATTTATAATTAGTCTGACAGAGTCTTCAATAATGAGCTGCTTTAAATCTCCCCAAAGTAAAGTCTTACTTTCTTTGCTGCCTAACAACTCCCAATTACCTGCTTCAATGGGAGGCATTATTCAAATTACTGGGTTGTGATTTATAATAACAGCAGAAGAAAGTTTCACTTAGACAACATGACAGCGAGAACACCCACTACCACATTAGACCAAATACAAAGTAAGTCAAGTCAAATTACCATAGTTTCATTCTTATCAATTATTTTGTAATGATTGTTTTTCTTTCTATACCAAAGAAATGGCACATTCCGAATTAACAGTGACTTCTTTGTTTTGTTCTATATTTCATAGTTGCTATTTTAAATTAAAAAAATTTAAATCTGTTCCTACTGTATCTCAACCTGAATGTTTTGACTTTTGAGGTAATGTAATTTATGTGCTTTAAACTAGTTTTGATAATATATAGTGCTACCAACACGATAACGTTTCATTAATGATATATGTGATACAATTGACTGAAATTGAACACATTTTCCCCTTTCTAAAATTGAAGTGTTTTCTGTAATAGAAACAATAGTAGATGTTCTAACAAATAGGTAAAAAGTAATGGCACTGCAAAAGGTTAGACCTTGCCCATCTTGTCTGACAAGTTATAGTCATTTTTTCAATCTGTACTTCATCCCATTAAATCTATTTTAGTTAGATTCAATTTCAATATATAGGCAATGAAATGCCATTACTTTCTGTAGAATTTTAATCATTATTTCAATCTGTACTTCATAAGGTTAAAACTTATTTTAGTTAGATTTAATGTCAATATATAAGCAATGCATAAGCAAACATCTGAGTTCTGGAACATGGAAAATTATTTTGGTGACAACTGTTAATATGAGTTTATTTGTTCTTCCTCCAGATGTGACTCAGCTTGCAGACTCAAACACAACTGTCTCCCAGCTCACAGAGTTTTTACTCCTAGGAGGAGAGCTGGGTCATAATGAGTTCTATACAGAACTCTCCATCATTCTGCTGGTGGTGTACTTGCTGGTTCTCATGGGAAATCTGACAATTTTAACTTTAGTGGTAGCTGATCACAGGCTACACACACCAATGTACATTTTGCTCAGTAATTTATCTTTCATAGACATAGTCATCACAACTACTGTGATACCCAAAATGATATCTGTGTGCATAAAGAATGACATGGCCATTTCCATTTCAGGATGTTTTTTACAAATGTACTTCTATTTGTCATTACAATCAGTTGAAAGCTTTCTTCTAACTGTCATGGCTTATGATCGTTATGTTGCTATATGCAAGCCTCTGCACTATAACACTATTGTTACCAATGGGGTGTGTGCTCTCCTGGCAGTTACAGCTTGGATTTTAGGGTTATGTGGAGCTTCAATTGCCGTGATTCTTGCAACACAGTTACCTTTCTGCAACAACCAAGTGTTTTTTTGGTTTTGTGACTACCCACCTGTGGTGAGACTTGCCTGTATGGACACCACATTTTTATTAGATCTAGCTCTTGGACTTGCTCTTGTAATAATCTACTTCCCATTCACAGTCATAGTTTGGTCATACAGCAAAATCATTTTGTCAGTTTTCAGAATTGGATCTTCTGATGGGCATCTTAAAGCCTTTTCCACCTGTTCTTCCCACCTCATTGTTGTTCTTACCTTCTACCTAGCTCATTCCTGTGTTTACATTAGTGTAAAGTTTCAAAACGTTCCTCAAAGAGCCATAATGGTAATCTCTATTGTCAACTGTTTCCTGACTCCTCTAGTTAATCCTATTGTTTACAGTTTCAGAAACAAGGAGATAAAGAGAGCTTTACGAAAACACTTCCCAAGAAAAAGAACTTTTCCTTGAGAACCAGACGTTTCTCTACGTATTTTGTCCTTGAATGGTGACACCACTGATCTTCAGTTCTTACCCCGGAGGTCTGGTGTGACTGCACCTCAGCTTTTTATGACTCCTTTTGTTACTAAAGAAACTATCTTAATGTTACTTGAATTTTCAGGGAAGGCTGGGTAATTCAAAATGCATTCAAAGCTACAAAAACATATGCAACACTAAATTGTATCATATTACAATACTATTTAATGTAATAAGAACATGATCCTGGGAAAGGCTGTATTTTCATATTTTATTAATACAAAAAATAAAAGCTTTTTTTTCAGCAGTTAAATATTTTCTACGTGCGCTACAGTTTCTCCTTCTGTATTATATTAACAGTCGAAAAAGTCTGAAAACATATTTTGTGTTTTCTTCTTTACTTTAATCCCATGGAGCTGTTTGAGTTTGATCATTAAAGTGTTTTAATGTAAGAAATATATACTGTATATTATTTCCAGCTCTTTGCAGAGTGCTCTATGCTCGATAAAAAAAATATCAGTCTGGATTTGCTGCAGTTCACACAACCTTCTGCACAGTGCTCCACTTTGTCTTCAAATTCAGGCCTATAGTAAATTCCAAATTTCCTATATATGTTCCTAAATACTCTGCCTGAATCTGAGCTTAATTACAGTGTGTAAATGCACAGGTTTTTAAATTAGTACAGAGGCAGCAGTAAGCTTTAGTAAACTTCAGTAAAAGAGAAATATGACTCCGGGCTTACACCGAAGTCAGCTATTTGTAAATATGGAGTTTGAGTAGGAAGCATGCATAGGCTGCAAAAAAAGAGGTTAAGGTTTATTCCATTCTAAAAAGGAAAAGAAACACAATGTTTCGGCTGTGGAGCCTTCTTCAGTTGTGGACACAACTCACACCTAAAGAAGGCTCCACAGCTGAAACTTTGTGTTTCTTTTCTGTTCCATTCAGCATGGAATAAACATTTACCCGTTCCTTATTTGTACATATGCACATGTTACTCAATCAATACACCATTGTCATATTCCATTCTTATATGGGATATTTACTTTTAATATAATCCTTTCAAAAACTATCACACAATGATAATTAAACTGACAAGTTTGATTTGTAGAGACACACTTCTTGATTGCATTACAAGCTGAAGTTCTGTTGTACCGTTCACCATCCAGATAAATGAGAGGCAATTTGTAGCTTTTCCATTTCAAATCAGCACAAAAAACAATACATGAATCTAGCGTAAACTGCCTCCTATTTAGAATAACTCAAACTTTCAAAGGTTTCAAGCATATTAGAGTGAAAGGAACGCTGCTCTGATGTATTTAGAAATGTTTTTAATGTATTGTTTCTAAGACATTTAATGGAAAAGCCAGCACACTCACTAAAAGGAAGTCAATGTTTACAATGCTACAGCTCTGACATCATAATAACGAACAAAAAACAAATTGCAAAAAAACACAGAGAAATTACCCTATCCAGCTAATTATCATATATTTGTTCATCATAAATCAGAAAACCTACAGTACATCATAAACATTGTGGAAGTTATTACAGCTTTCTTTAGATGACTGCTGTCTGTCAAAAGGTTAGGTCAGCTTTTAAAACCTTATTAACCTTAAGACTGCTGAGATGTCATGCAGCACAATAGCTTTAAAAAATGTCTCACTTCAAACACAAATTGTATTACGTTCTCCTTAGTGCTTTAATTAGTGTCTGTATACAAGGCCATGAGGAAAGAAATTCTTGATCCTTAATTACAGAAACTCTCCTTTAAAAGCTCTCAGTTAGAACCTTTTTGAACTTGCTTTAGGATCCCAGGTAATAAAATATGGAAATAAATAAAAGTAAGTAAATAATTGCAACATAAAATCAATGTTGAATCTTCATTCCAGGGCTGCGGTGGTGCCTGTGACATGTTCAAAGACAATTAACTCAAAGGCAACAAGTTGTAGCCTCTTGAGTATATCAATCAGTCATGAATGATCAAAATTAATCAAAATTCTACCAATATGTTCAGGCAATATCCAAAATCTGCATATTTTCATTTTTCAAAAAAACATACAAGCATAGGGTAACATTCTTTTATTGTCCAGTACATAAAAATATAAAAGCTAATTTGAGCTAATTCTAAAAATATGGAAAAGATTCTAAGGCAAAAACAAATTGTTTCGGAACTGTATAATAATTTATTAATGCTTTTCAAAAACAACGTACAGTGGGTTCAAGAATGTATTGACACTCTCAATAAAGATGAACAAAAATATGTATAAAAGAAACAGATAATGACTTATAGTAGTAGAAGAAGAGCAGAGGACTTTAGGACATACATTACAGAAGCCTATTAAGTACCTTAAAAATACTGCAATAAGCAAAGAATGACAGTTGTCTAATCTTAACGAAATACAGGCATGTATCAATATTTCGTTAAGATTAGACAACTGTCATTCTTTGCAACTCTGCAATTTCCCTCACGGGATCAATAAAGTATCTATCTTCAGCATCAGACAGAAAGAGCAAGAATCTTAACCAAGCAATGTAATGCAGGTGGAAGATAATCTTATGCTGTTACATATTGTACACATTCCTGCTATACTCTCAGTAACAGTGACACGGTCTGAGGCAGGAGACTGGAATCAGGTGCAGGTTCAGGAAACAGGCAAACACGAAAATGTCATTTGAACTGTAGTCAGAATCAGGCAGAGGTAAAGTCAAGGTAGAGGAAGCCTCAGAGCCTTCAAGTACCAAAGGAAAACAAGGAAATGATGGAGAAACAGCAAGCCAGGGTTAAAATTACAAGCACAGTACAGGGGCAATCTTGGAACAAGTTGAGAACGCAAGCACAGGCAAAGCTTGGAAGATAAGTAACTGAACACTAAGAGCAGTAACAAACAAACTGAGACTAAATACTGGATTTAAGGTGGGTCTGAAATACTGGATGTGAAAAGAATCTGACAGGTGGCACTGCTTGCCTTCCATACCGCATAGTTGTGGCTACCAACTGAACGACAGAATTGGCATGGTTAGCACACCCTCCCCTCAACCAGTGAGTCTGGTGTGATTGTTCTAAATAAAACAGGGACAAAAATAACAAGATTTCTAACTTCCATCAAAGGTTTGATTTCAGCACCAGCACCAGCAACAATGGAATCACTAATTTTGCAAAAACGACCTGCATCTATCTACTACCAAATTGTTACCAATGAGAGAGCCAAAGATGTTGTCTCTTGCAAATTCTTCTTATTTGGAACAGTGCAATCACTTTGAAGTGTCAAACGTGTCCCTTTTTCATAAGTTAGAGCTCATTATGAGGCTTTCTGCCTGTCAGAGATTGTCATCTTTCATGTACTGTATTTACTGCGCATACTGTACATCTCAACTGTGCAGCTGTCTGGCATTCCTCCAGGCAGTGTTCCTGCATCACGCAGGCAATAAATACTGTCTTATTCTCAGGTACAATCTGAAAACATGGGTATGAACACCTTGACAGAAAATACTTTAGAAATATTATCCATTTGGGAGGTCTACAGAGCCCTTTCATCACTTTTGAATCAACTTAATCTTAATAGCTTTTAAAAAAAACATGAAGCAGCCCTAACATTCAAACCCATAAAGCTTAAGTCATAGAATCTAAGATAGATGCCCAGTGCATCATCTTACAGCAGAGTGCAGATTTCTAAAAAAAACTGTGTCAGGAATTTGATTTTTCCATAAAGACTGTTTTGCTTACTATGTAATGAATTTCACCCAAATGTGGTTAATAATATTGAATGACCCTTAAACATCTTACATCTTGCATATCTCTCGTCCTCTTCAAACAGTGATGAAAGAAATGACAATACAATACACAAACTTGTAGAAAACATCTCATTCGATGTCATTTTCAAGAAAAACAAATTAAATTGTCCTTTCTATATGTATACTTATACAGGTGCAGCAGGAGTAAGGTCACCTCACTTCCGGGAAGTTCAGTTCAGACACTTGGATTTCAATGACTCCAATGTCAGTGCACATAAACAAAGTCAGCAGAAATGGAAAATCTAATCTTAGAAGTTAGCATTCTCTGTTTTCATATGCTTCAATAAAATATGACACAGATTGGTACTGTGCTTCATATTCTATTATTTAACGAACCTGTGACAGCAGAAGTAATTTTGCTCAAAGTTTAAGAATAAATCTGAGTTACATTAATGGATTATTTAGAACAAAATACACCTGTACACCTGTTCTTCTTTTTCTAGATAATTCAATATTTTATATTGTAACGCTCCGGGGTTCAGTCGGCCCCCCACCGTCGGGGATTCAAACCCGCAACCGCCAGCGTAGCTCAACAGGGACCCAGCCGCTTGAGCTAAAGGAAGTTCTCCCTTCGCCCAGGGGCTGCGGGCCCCTGCTATCACAGGGGAGGGCGGTGACGTCACCGCTCTGGTAAGCCAGCTCTTTCACACTCAATGGTGGCCGTATGCGTTACACTCTCCCCCGCTTAACTCGCCGACCTCAGCGAAGGGCTATCCCACCCCACTCTGACACCAATGTAACACTTCGGGGTTAAGGTGGGCGCCCTTGCCGCCGCCACATCAGGTCAGCCCCCCACCATCGGGGACTCGAACCCAGGCCTCCCGCGTCACTCAACAGGGACCCAGCCTGTTGAGCTAAAGATAGATCTCCCCTCAGCCCAGCGGCTGTAGCCCCTGCTATCACAGGGAAGGGCGGTGATGTCACCGCTCTGTTAAGCCGGCTCTTACACACTCACTGGTGGCCGTAAGTGTTACACTCTCCTCCGCTTAACTCGCCGACCTTGGGGAAGGGCTATCCCATCCCACTGCTGACACCAATGTAACGCTATAGGGTTCAGGTGGGCCCCCTTGCCGCCGCCGCATCTGGTGGGCCCCCCACGGTCGGGGACTCGAACCCAGGCCTCCGGCGTCACTCAACAGCCTGTTGAGCTAAAGAGAGATCTCCCTTCAGCCCAGCGGCTGTAGCCCCTGCTATCACAGGGAAGGGCGGTGATGTCACCGCTCTTACACACTCACTGGTGGCCGTAAGCATTACAATATGTTTAGGACAATGGTACAGTACAGGTGTATGGCTGAATGTGGTAACTTAATCACCATTGCATGGTATCCAGACACTTTTTTGAGGATGGGAGAGGACTTTCCACAGGTGAAAAATTATAAATATAAATTTCATCCATTTACTAATTTTTTTAGACATATAAATGTAGAGTAAATCATACAGTTATACATATACATACTGTACACTTACTGTATATGCATGAATTATGATATAGGAAACTGTTTAAAAGGTTCGTGTTATTTACCTTTTTAAGAAAGGAGCGTAGATGCCTAGCATTAACAATAATATGTCGCGGTTCGTTGCATTTAAACAACACTACACAACACAGCGAAACTACGATGTGCAGAATACACACTCTGAAATGAACTCTACAATCATTAAAAAAGGACATTTACAGGATAATCGACAAGCGAACTGAATTCACATAACTGGCAAAGGAACAGTAAAACGCAATGCACATTCACGATACATTTAATCGCGGTTTTCTAGTTACTACCGCTACTGTATATCAGATTTTCTGTATAATCCCGGAACAATATGCAATGAAAAGCAAAGGCAAGGGTATGTAAATTTACCTTAGGCATTCTGCCGTACGTTTAAATTCTCATCCTCTCCTATTGGCCTCACTTAATTTTCTGTTTTGTTCTAACTTGGACAGCCCGATAACCTGGGTTTGCTGCTGATTAGGCACGAGAAGATTGTGTTACTTTGTGTACCTTCAAAGCTGAGGCCAAAAGACAACTCAATGAAACAAAATTAGTATTAAGTATTCACATGGTTAACAGCAAAAGATATTTATGTGGAATCTAGAAACCGAGTAAACTGAAAAAAAAATCAGTGTTAAACACACCAAATAAAATATTTTAGAATCTTATTCGGTACTGGGGGATTGGTACAGTACACTGCATAGAGAGTTGTTTTCCTGCAGAATGTATAGCTCTGCATCTTTTAATCCTAGCAAAACAGGGCAAGATTTATAAAACTCTTGCAATTGCATTTTCACTGCAAATCCTTATAGATTATTTAACAGGTATTTAAGAATTATTAATGTTATTTAAGTACAGTAGCTGTTTTTTCCAAGTTCATATGTGTACAAAATAATTGACAAAAAGATTTTTGAAGACAGAAAGTGTAAAGTCAAATACACAAAGGACCAACATAGTGTCATCACAACTAGAATTGTATTATGTATTTGACCTATTAGGTATTTTATGTATTTGCCATTTAATCAATTATTTAATTATTTAATAAAAACTTTCCTTTAGGTACTAAATGGAACTAAAATTCTCCCAATATGTGTCAGGGAGTTTTTATTTCTTGTCCTTTTGGAGGAAATGTACTGTTTTTTTCTGTTCCTGCAAACATTATAAATACAGTAATATGCTAATTATAGACCAATTAAATGCATCTGCAGCCCAATAAAAAGAGTACAGTAATAACTCTGTGCATTTCAAGAGAATTACCAGTAGAATTGCACAGTGCTCTTGGGCAAGATTCTGCTGTACAGGAACCAAGTGAACAGACATGCCTTTATGCATTTAAGATAGTAAGGAAAATTCAAACCACAGTTAAAGTAGTCTTCAAAGGGTTATATCACAATTATATATAATTGTCCAACATTAATGGATATTCACACTCTGCTTATTTTGTTAGTTCAGACTTGACAGCTAAATTGGCAAAAAGCTGCCATGCCGTGACTTTGTGTTTTGGGGATCAGTACCTCGTAATAATCTCTCCATCTCGTGATCCTTTCAGAAATTGTTCAATTTTCATGATGATGGTGTTTAAGATGTACACACACCTGGCATTACAGAGTAAACCCTCATATAGGGGATTTTTTATTGGATAACACTGACTTTAATTCAATTTCACGAAGGAACAACCAATATTTAATATTATTTAATAATTTAATAATTATTAAATTAATAATTTAATAATAATTTAAGATTATTTCTTTATTTTTCATGCAGAGGGTTATATGCATTTTGAGAGCTCCTTCAAACCATTCGATTTTAGTACTCAGAATAAATAATTGATTTTTATCAATTAAAATGGAAAGTAGGTTCTAGTCATTTGTAGATGCTTTTAAATTCATTCGTTTTACTTAAACAGGCTGACAGCAAACATTCAGTAACCAAATCACCAGAGTATTGTCAGCTATTCAGAGAAAGTCACCACATGCCATTACATTAAATGCCTGTCCAAAAACTCATTTTTGTGTAGTTTTTGTGCTTTGTCCAAGGACTGCTTGTGCTTGACGTTTTCCCTGCAATTGAACCTGGTGTTGAAGTTTCTTTCCATGACATCTTCTTTTTCTGAGACAATGGAATGTTTTGTCATTGATTCGTGGCCAGCAGGCAAGTTTTACAGTTGTACAATGATCTTCATATAAGTGTAACCAAAATGTACTGCAGATGCTACTTATAGATCCTTGGCACATTACACTTTAAGCCAAAGTGCAAAAACCAGTTATTAAACATCTCAAAATATGTGAAGTGTCCAAAATGTATGTACTGTTTTGTAAGGACTTGCAATCTGCACTTAGGTGTTGCAGTTGTTTTTCTACATAGCACTGCTTGTGCATTATGACTGCCATTTAGCCCTTCTAGTGCAAAGTACATTGCTGAATCGCAAATATCTTAAGCACAGGTAAGCTTCCTGCCTCGATGGTTCATATAATCTTTGTACACATTTTTTCAACATGAAATTGGAAGAAAGTTCAAAGTTGTTTCAATAACAGAGAAGAGTAAGGATACGGTCATATGGACTTGGGGTATGAACAATTATAAGTTTAGAATGAGATGCACATTTTAAATATATCATTCCAGAAAATAGTTTTAATTATCATGAAAAAAACAAAACTGTGATGTGTATTGAGTTAGAGTTTGTAAGCACATGCACCATTACACCATATTTCATTTCATGGAGCTTGCCTGCATATACTAGCATTGTGACATGACAACGATAACCTATATTTTTTCATATACAAATTAAACAAATGTCAACTAAAAGGATGTACTGTATTAGTGATTGTAACAAAAAATGCAAGATTAAAAGTTATCTACATTATAAAAAGGAAGGTACTTTATTACATTTTTCATAATACACATAAGTAATACTTTCAGAAAGCATATTTTCATTCTTTTGCAATTCAGTTATTTATTGGTTTTTGGGACATTGGGAAGGTGGTTCTTTTGGCTTGATATTCGCCAGAAACTGGTTGCTCAACCTAATTCGGAACAGCATTAGAAAGTTGGGAGAAACTACTTGGTAACAGTGCTCTAAGACTTAGACCAAAACAAAAGTAACCCCTTAGTTTCTTACTGCTTTCCACGGATGTTTACTACTGAGACATTAATTTTCCAACTGAATGGTCAACAGTCATTTCAATGGTTTTTGCCCATTCTTCATCCCTCATAAGGCCTTTCCCATGATGAGCAAGCTCATGAAGAACACCATGATGAAGAAGATCCACATGAAGAAGCGGTCCATGACCTTGGCCACCTTCTTCCACTCACCAGTCCTTTTCTGGGTGGCCCTCTGGTCTCGGTAGAAATTGGCGATGTATTCAATGTTCCTTAATAGCTGCTGATGGTGGCACAGACACTGGGCTTTGCAAACTGCCTCCTTACCTTTAACACTTCCTCCTCTACCATTCAAGTCTCCGTGGTCTAAACTGACAAATGTCCCCTCCTCCTTCCAGGAGCCGTAGGTTTTGGTGGGGTGTTCCCCACCAGTACCATCGGGGCTCACACCCTGCTCTATCTCGTCTTTGAGGGCCTGAATCTTTTGAGCCAGGCCCTCTTGACTCCTCCTCACCTTCAGCACAAAGTCGTCTTTCCTGGCTTGTCCATTCATGGTCCAGCCCGTGCTGGTCTGAGAACTGGGCTCTGGTTTTTCGGGCTGGGGGCTGGTGCAGTTCTCACCCACTTCATACACAAAGAAGATTCTGGCCATATACTGCAGGATGACCTTTTTGGCCCATCTGGGTACTGGCTTGGCTTCCGGGCCGCAGTGGTGGATATTCATGATGAAAATGGTCAACGCAGTTGAGGCAGTAATCATGGTCATTGTGGCAATGTAGTATTTTCCTATGGGAAAAGGAAAATAATGTTTTTATAAGGCTCGTACAACAGAAAAACGTAGAGGCATTTTTTACACTACTCAGTTCAGGTTTTTGTAAGTGCCTTGAGAATGTTCTAGATTGAAAAGTGCTATAGAGAATACTGATTGATTAATAAAGCAGTCTTACTATCCATTCATCCATCCATTTTTTACTGGTTTATCCAACACAGGGTCACAGGGGAGCCAGAGACTGTCTTGGCAAGTAATGGGCACAAGGCTGGATACACCCAGTACGGGGCACCAATCCATCACATGGTACACACTTGCACTAGAGCCAGTTTTTCCAGAAGCCAATTAACCTAAAAGTATCTCATTAGGCTGTGAGAGGAAATAGGAGCATGCAGAGGATGTGCATTTTACAAGCACAGGGAGAATATAAAGACTAAAGCAGCCCAGGGCCCATGCTAATAATCGCTGCACCACCGTGCCACCTCATATTTATCATGTCAAATGTAATTCTTCAAAGAAAATCTGTTTGTTTTTAATTGCCACTTGTGGCGATAAATGACTTCAAACATAAGAGTGGTCACAAACAAGAGATGGCCATTCAAACTCTCTAGCTAATTGATCTGAGGATCATTCAGCTGTTTCTTGAAAGAGGCCAGGGTATCGGCTTTAACAACATGGCAGTGTAGCTTGTAATACATTCCCCTCCTATACAGTTCCATACTTACTCCAATTAAAGAACGCAATTTAAAATCAGAAAGGTTCCTGATGATAGCCAGTGAAATTAAGCACTTTCTAGCACTGCACAGAAATGAACTGACAATTTTTTTCAATTCATTAAAGGTTCAACCATTAGTTTAATATACCTGAAGTTACAAACATGTAAAGTTTACATCAGCCCCAGCTTTAAATTATTCATGCATCTATTACCATTTTGGTCCTGAAAATAAAATAATCTGAACCTAAAGGATCTGTATGTCAGCCCTGTTTTGTTCTCATTCATATCTTAGTATTATCCCACAAAGTAATTCAAAATTCCTATAATTTCTGAATAGTTAACCACCTTTGCTCAATGTTAATGGCATCATGTTGAACTCATTGGCTCCTGTATGTCTACATACCAAGTTAACAGTATAGAATTTTCATCTTTACATTTTTTTCATGCTATATTTCTCATTTTTGTGAGAATTCAGAGATCTGGTTTAGCCTGTATTCCCACTACAATTATAACAGTCAATATATTTTATATAGAACTTTAGTCACTGGAAAATCAGAAACAATTATTATTTACAGCATATGTTTCTTCCTCATTTATTTTCACTTGCACTGAAGTTGCTGACTGCAAAGTAAACACTCATATATGAGTTTCTTCAATAAACAAAACCTCTTCAATAAACAAAACTATTGTTTTAATACAAATGCAAAATCATAATACTTTAAAAAGACACTTTAAAAAGCCTGTCGTTTACTTGTTTTAAATATCTGCCCAGGTCTCAGCCTGTCTATAACCCTTACCCATATAACTAGCCTTTAGATGAGCCCAAGGAACTGATGCAGTCATGTCTAACTGACTCACCAATGAGTGGCACATTCTCCGAAGGGGGCATGCTCTCAGCAACCAGCAGCTGAAAGACAGTGAGAGCCAGCAGCACAGTGACTCCCAGGGAAACCTTCTCCCCAGAATCTGCAGGAAGGTAGAAACCAAGCGGGGCCAGAAAGGAGATCATGACACAGGGGATGAGCAAGTTGAAGACGTAGAAGGAAGCCCTCCTCTTCAGATTGAGAGTGTAAGTAACATCGGGGTAGGGATCAGAGCAGCAACCATACAGGATAACACTCTTCTTGGCCGGCATGCCTAGGACTTCCCACTCCACATTCTCCACGAAATCAGTCAGATCCCCGGTGTCCAGCGCATTCAGGATATCGATTTGATTGCCATTGTATGTCCAGGAGCCAAAGGTCAGCCGACACTGCTGGGCATCAAAGGGGAAGAAGGAGACATCCACCTTGCAGGAGCTCTTGGTGATGGCTGGAGAGTCCCACATGATCTGGCCATCATGTCTGATCACCACGTTCGTCTCCATCGAGCCCGTGAACTGGTCATCGGCGCTGAAACACAGAGCAGTCACAAAACCACCTGCTGAGAGAGGAAGGGCTGCAGAACTAGAAATGGCATCTCGATACCCTGTTGTAAACTGAATGCCCAGGTTGTTGGTTAGGGGTTGTTCACTTTTGTCTTATATGTCCTGCATTGGTGTATAATATGAGTAAAGACATTAAACATAGCTGAATTGTGAAAGGACAGGTGCAGTATGTAGAGCACAATTTTAATGGCATTATGTACCGCAACTGAAAGACATAATTCCTCATAACCAAGCCTCTAAATTAACCTCACAAAAATGACTGCAATGACAGATTTTGCAAGATCAGACGATTCTAGCATTCATTTTTGCCTATGTGGAACGCTTGCCTTTTACTCTGTATTGTTTGCATGCTGGGTCTTTCAGCAAAACAGAAAGTCCCTTTATCAGGGACAAGCAGACGATGTACACTATCATGAAAAACCTGCAATGCAGTGAGTACCCCCTGTGAGCAAAACAGAAACAGCATGAATTTTTAAACGCAAGCAACCCGGTATATTGAAAGGCAGAGCCACTTGGGTCAGAAAAGAAATCTCATTGAATCACCTGCATCATCAGTACTGATCTTCAGACTCTTTCATTTTTGTTTTTCATAAACAGCCTTGTTGTTTTTAGTACGTTTATGCAGCAACCCAAGTTTACTTTTAAGAGCACATGAAACTTCATCAATTATTTTTTTATTATCTAGACCTCTGTAAACATTACATCCCCAAGCTCTCATCTACAGTATGTAAAAAATGCCAGGAGCACTTGGTTTTCCCCTAGTGTCAAAGCACACAGGATTCAGTAACAAATCTGTATTAGTGTCAAATGTTACACCAGCAGAGTGAGAATTATTTTTTGGTATGGAACATTTAGTTCTGGAACCACTGTTGACTCCAAATGTATTCATACCTTTAATAAAAAGTAAGTGAAAGCTGATTTTCACACAAAAATAATTGGAAGTGTAGACTCAGTATTTGTTGAATAAACAATAATTTAACGTAAAAAACGGAGATATCCAGTATTCCTTCCTATAGCATTTTAAATGGTTCAGACCCTTCGCCATAGGGATATTTCACCATTTCTCCATTTAGAACGTCTCCCGTTCCTTAATATTATGCAACTTGTTAATGTCTTTAGTTCATGTCACAAATACTCTATTCATGGATAAGTGGATCTGTTGTAGCTAAGGATCTGTGCCTGTGGCTGGAAGGTTGCTGGTTCAAATCCTGTGGCTGGCAGAGGAATCCTACTCTGTTGGGCCCCTGAGCAAGGCCCTTAACCCCAACTGCTCCAGGGGCTCTGTACAATGGCTGACCATGCACTCTGACCCCAAGCTTCTCTCCGTCTGTGTGTCTCATGGAGAGCAAGTTGTGGTATGTGAAAAGATGAATTCCTAATGCAAGAAATTGTATATGGCTTATATAGTGATCTTATCTTATCTGAATTGCAGTCCAGACATTTTATTGTCCAATCAGGAATATTCAGTTTATGCTCCTTTAACCATGTGTTACTAGGTGCTTTGGGTCTTTATCATGCTGTAAAGTCCACTTACGACCAAGCTTAACCTTCTAAGCAGAAAAAAACACAAGATTACCTAAAATATCCGATATACTTTTGGAATCCACCTGTCAATAGAGTCTAAAAAGGATACCAGAATCACAGGCGTCAAAATATGCTCTCTCTTTACAGAAGGGATGACATTCTTTAGAAACTTGAGATTCACCACTCTGTGATGATCTTACCACTGATGAGACTGTCCAAAAACTCATTTTGTATGTCACCCAGCCACATCATGTGGTCCCATCTGACCTGGAGTCAAGTAGCTGTTGTTTGGTAGACTCGTGTCTTTACTTTTTATGGTGCTATGGGATTCTGCCCCAAACACCAGAATCATTAAGTGAATTTCAAATGGTAGTTTTTGAGAGCTTTGTTTTTCTAACCTTCCTAGTTGTTGCCATGACATTTGAGTAAAACTTCCTTAGCTTCCCTCTTTGGTGGGATAGCAAACATCCCACTGAGCTTGATCTCAGTGATGACCTCTACAGTCATAACTGGCACGGCCAACTGTATGGAGATCAAATAACAATTTGCCTGTGTCTGACAATTCTCTGATCTTCCCTGTGCTGATTAATCATGCAAACTTTACTATTTCTATGTGCAGCCTCCTTTTATATCTACTGACTACCAAATAAATATAACATATAATATAATGTTCTTAAAACTTCGAGGACCTACAATACCACATGACCACAGAGCACTGCTGTAGTACATTTCCAGCAAGTGTTTACAACGAATATACAGGGAGTGAATACATTCAAACTTAAGTGTATTTAGGAAAATATAGAATTAGTTTTGACAGCTTTGTGATGCTCCTTACTTTCTTATTTTTTTCATATTTGCATCAATGTTCACTGATGCAACAGATACCAAACATATACTTCATTTATTTTCTAAATCCAGCTTTCAGTTTGATTATATCAAAGGCTTGGACAAACTGAAGACAAATCTGTCTGTTGTATTAGGATTGAAAAATAATTTATCGCTGGTATTTGAAGATATGAAATGTTAATATGAAATCCCATTAAAGTGGAGACATGTTGGAACTGAAAACCCCTCTACAGGAGATTAATCAAATAATGCCACAGACCAGATAAGCACATCAGTTAAATACCATTTTCTCAGTCCCAAATATCCCCTGCTGGCAAAAAAAAAAAGAGATTTGTACATAAATTGCACTTCTGTTCAAATTTGGCCTGTTCACAAAACCTGACCAGTAACAAAACAAAAATTATTAAATATATGTATGTACTCACAGTCATCAGCCACAGCGCCATGGTGGGTTTCTGGATGGAAGCAAAGGCACAAGGAAAGCAAAGGCAGAAGAGCTTGTCTTCATTACTTGCTCCCGGTTTTCTGTTTTCTGCTTTTTATCAATTCATTACTCTCAGAGTGCTGGAGACCACTTTATCTGGATCTGAGGAGTGATCGTGTTTTCGGTACACTTGTTGTAGGCTCTGTAGCCAAGCTCTGTAACTGCAGCTGTGGCATTGAGCCAAGGCAGCATTTACAGAAACAGTTCTGTGTGTTTTTATATGTATCGGGCACTGCAAAGATCTACAAAAAAGACATTTCGGCAGACAGTACTTCCATTCTATGGTCTGGCATGCTGCTTGTGCCTGTGCAGTTGGCAGTTGAGGCACATTCAGCTCTATAGTTAATAAGCTCTCAATGCCTGTGATGATGTTTAATTTTGTGTTAATTCATATTAGCTATGTTTTGAATAGCTTATGCAAGAAAGTACATAGGGGGAGTCTTGCTCTCCCCATATTTAACTTTACAGGTATTTTTTAAGTATTGTCTTAATTCAGCAACTGGCAAGAGTAACTGCTTTATTGCCTCCAAGAGGTTACACAGGCAGACCTTCTGAACTGCCTCACTATTATTTACAGTGTTAATACATTACACTGTACATAAACGTCAGTCTTAACTTGATTACTTCCCACTGCAACACAATATGTGTTGCTTGTAATCAATCCTGTTTTATGCTCAAGTAATACCAAACCAATTGTCCTTTGTTACATATCTGGTAAACCCCTGTAAAATATAAACTTTATCATTTGTTTTT